TGAGTGTGAGTGAGTGAGTGAGTGAGTGAGTGAGTGATGTGTGTGTGTGTGTGTGTGTACTAGGCAGTGCAGAGAGGTCACACTCAGTGAGTCACAGTAGCTGAGTGATAGAGCAGATGGGTCTCCCACAGCAAACTGTCAAAGTGAAGACGTCCTCCCTACCCGATCCATTCACTCCCTCAGTAGCTGCTAAAGTCAGAGAAATGCAACAGTCGGATTATTGTAATAATAATAATAATAAAGTAAAAACACCACACCCAGGTTATCGTACGGACATTGAGGGGGTAGGAACACTTATATTGGAGCTACTTTTGCCATGAAACAGCTTAGTGTTGACTATGCAGACCACACCAAAGGTCTCAGAGTGAAAGGATGTGAAGCATTATGACCACGTTAAAAGAATAAATAATCAGTGTATAAGTGACAGTTGAGGTATTGCTAACTGCACGCTAATAAACCATCAGGCATTCTTAACTCTCCTTGCCCACATGTCCGCCACAACAAGCTCTTTCCTGGTAAATCCATCATCACATCACGGGTGAATTAGAATATGCACAGAGCGGACTTCCACCCAATGACACACTTAAAAATGAATTCAAATAATGTAAACGACAGGTGTGTATGATCAGGAAGGACTTTGTGTGACATTCATCGGATCATAGTTGAATTTGCACTTTTCTTGGTTGAGGTACTTTTAAAAATGATTATTACAATATTCCAAACATTCTGACATGCACAGTGCAGACATGTATATCCACTTTCCTTTAGGGTCGGTATGTTCTCTGAGCTTCATCTCACTTTGTAGAACAGGGATTCTGCGTAAACCCACATTAAGTGGTTGACAATGCCATCTGGAGCATTCTCTCTGTGATAAAACATGTCAATATTTGACTTTCAATTGCATGGTAAACACACACTGCTGCTGCAATTCGTTCTTCACTGTCCTCGCTAATTAAAGAAACACTGGACTTGATCTGAGAAAATAACGTACGATAGATTGCTGAGGTTTTTGATGTTTGTGCAACAGCTGCAATAATTCAAGCTGAACCGCCATGTTTCTACCGTAGCCCAGAGCGGACAAACCAAAGACTGGCTTTAGATAGAGTTTCTCCCTTGCACTCAGAAGGGGAGTGTGAAGCGAGGGAGTTGCAACCTGCAACCACACCGCCATGCGAGTAAATCCTACACACTGGTCCTTTAAAGGAACATTTGAAAAAGATGGCAAAGGACAAAGAGGAAATGAATGCATCATAAACAGTACATTCAAACAGTGCACTGCTATTGTACATGTGAATTAAATAGGAACAAACTCGACAAACCATTCCTCAGGAAGAACTCACTGTTAGCTCTAGTTCCCTAATGCATCTCATGGTGAAGGAGGCCTTTGTTTCATTGTCAAGCAGCCACACGAAGCCAAAGTTCAAGTTAATGGAGACAAACCGAACCCTGAACAGTTCATTTCAGGTTCAGTGTGTGTAGAGTGGTGCAAGCTGTGGCGCAGGAAACCTTACATGGCCATCTCCCACACTGCCTGCCTCTGTCTGTCTCCCCTTGTTTCTCTCTCCCTCTCCCTCTCCATCTCTCCCTCCATCTCTCCCTCTCTCTCTCTCTCCCTCTCTCTCATCTCTTGTCTCTGTCCCTCTGAACTATTCCTGGATTCCACACTGAGGTGAAAGGAAACAGGAACGGCTGCATTGGCTGTTGGAAGCAGAATTCTTTTCTTTGCAAAGACCCACTCTTCCTCTTGTAACGCACACACACACACACACAGTGTCAATACTCCTGTGCTAATGTCTTTGTTCTTTGGCCAGTTGGGAAGAGGTTTCCTCGAACATGCTCGTGTGACGAAAGCCGTTCCCGTTCCTGCAGTTGGAATGTATGTTTGCATGTTTGCATGTTTGTATTTGCGTATTTGCATGTGTGCTTGGCAAACACAGCTGAAAGTGAGACGTGGTCCTCTGGATGATCTAAGTGAGCAGTGTACAGATGGCTCCTTTATTAATGCCATGTGGAAGAAGAGTGAAAACAGTAGCACCCTCTGCTATCTGCCCTCTGTTCAGCCTCTTGTGCACCTCTGGGACTCTCCCCAACTCCCTGTTGTGCTTACTGGAACCTCGGCTGCCAGCTGCCATATCGGCCAATTAGAAAAGCTTTTACTAAAGCTCCAACCAATTGGATTAGGGCTACATTTCCTTGCCAGATGAGACTCTAAATGTGCTGCTGTATGCTAGAATCTGAGAAGTGGTGGGCAGACTCCTGTTTCGCTGACAGGCACTGGGCACCAGAATACACACACGCTGCAGAGGCAGTGGCAGCAGAAGAGACGTCCCATGACACTGCCGCGTGTCCTCTGCTGCCGAGCGTGATACTGTGTTTCTAAACTGTTTAAACCGAGAACATGACACGGAGCAAAGCAGGACCCGAGCAGCCGAAGGACCGTGTTGCTGCTCCCGGGCGTACATTAAGCAGACACTTACACACGGATGGGTCTGCAGGCACACAGAGCTGAAGACACACAGAGGGGACAGGAGACACACAGGGGGGACAGGACAAAGACCAGACAGAAAAAGGCATTTTTACTTTTTAGGATGCAACTGTTTCTCCCGCTGAGCAACATTTTTCCCAGATTCAATCTTTTTTTATTGTTACAGACTGTAAATCAAACTGACGGGACTTGATTTGAAAACAAAGTAAAAGCTGATTGTTTACCTGACTGACAGTCACAACTCATTTGTCTGCTTTGTGGCTGTTGTTTAATATATAAGTATGTGTTGCCAGTTCTCTATGTTCTTTATCTGAGCCCAAGTAAATTCCATTAGTGGGAATTTAATCAATTTCCAAATCCACTGAAGCAATCCAAATCCATTGATTGGTATTGCTTCAATCGCCTGTTTGATTTTCAATCAAACAGCAAAAGCTAAAGGTAGAACGGTAAGAAGTCCTATTTTTCTGATTGAACGTGTTTTTTTATGGTGATTTTGATTCAACAACGTCAATGGAAATTAGTCTTGGATTTATCATGTCATTCTTTTCATTTTAAACGTGTTTAATGTCAACTAAACTAAACAGAACTAAAAAAAGGCACCAAGTCTGAGACTAAAATCTGCCTTTTTTCTACAACAAGTGTAAGAAGACAAAGAATTTTTAAAAACTGGGTAGAGATGCCACGCAACATGATGAACAAAAACTGAAAAATACAAACCAACTAATGCAAATGGAGGGAAAAATGACCACAAGAAATAACAAAACAAACAAACAGCCCGAATTAATGTCAACAGAAAAGGGAAATACAGAGAAAAACAAAATAAATACAGAGACAAAAGCTCAAAGAGACAAAGACAGATTGACAAAGACCGAGCATGGTGCATCGTGATCGTACAATATCAGCTCACTCTCCTTCCCTTCTCATCCTCTTCTCTTGTCGATACCAATAGAGAGTTCACTGCTAAGTCAATGCTTACGAGAATCTGTGAAAGTGCTCATGGGGGCCTGGAGCGTACACACACACACACACACACTTTCTCAATCTGCCCTATCCCTGGCACTCTGCTCACTTTGAAAAGGCTGCCGCTGGATATTTGTCCATTATACTCCATCACACAGGAAAGAAGCACAAATGCAGAATCACTCAAAATCCAAACAATGCCCTAACTCCATCCCTCCCTCTCCCCTGTACGCAGCTCGTACGCAGCACAAGAGGGCCGTTATATGGCTGAAACAAGCAACGACTAAAGAAGGAGGTTTCTCTACCCCATAGGCAGGTGTTAGAGGAGGTGCAGGGCGAAACAAACCAAAATAACCCAAAGGCAACAGACCACTAGTCAAGCCTGGAGACCACCAGCCACAAAGGACTGATACTGAACTCCTGAAACCAGCACAGACCAATGAGACCCACTAGACCACAGCAGGGAGCACAAAACCCGCCTCAATGAGTCAGTGCATCAACCCAGAAAATCAAACTGTCCACACATAAAAAACAAGAGAAACACTGCTGTTTTACGCACCTGGAGTTGCTGTTTTTGTTTGTGTGTCAGGTTTTGCATGCTACTGTACAGACAGACAGACAGACAGACAGACAGACAGACAGACAGACAGACAGGTGTAAAG